GCGGGGGTTCCAATAAGAAAAGCCTTTGTCAGTTCATAGTACGTAATCTGAATGCAACAATTACACTTCATATTAGGCAATTAACAATAATTCTATACTATAATATCAACTCACCATAATGCAGAGTCAGTGGGAGCCCTGGGCTTGTTACCCTGCAACTAGATGGGTCCCATCTGGGGCTGATGGGAGACAGAGACACTCGAACTGTGTTCTGTATATCCAGTCTACTCCGTAGCTAAGAATGATGCTTTCAGGGCAGACACATTTGTTGAAGTGGTGGCCCTCAATAACTGTTTTTGTCCTTCATGTTCACATTTTTTCTTTCAAAAAATTGCAAGGGCTTGTCTTTTAACGCAGGGTGTTTTGTCTCAATGTGGCGGAGCATTTTTGTGGGTTTCATGGCTTCATGAGCTGGTCGGTCACCGCAAATTATGCATAGTGGCTGTGGAGCTTGTGCATCACCTGTTGAGAAGAACCTGTAACTTAGGTAGGAATCGCGGTATTTTCTTTTAAATGCAGCTTTCTTTTTGCTGGCAGTCTGTGACCCTTCTGCTGTCCCATTGTTTGCTCTTTCCTTACCGAAAAAGCTCTCCAGTGTGTGAGATCAAGTGTGGTAGTGAGGCGAAGGCGGAAACAGTCGTTTTTCAAAATAAGATCTGGAAGACTAATGAAACAAAAGTAATTGATTTTAATCACGAAATGTTCTTTGCGGCCCGGTACCAAATAATCCACGGACCGGTAGCGGTCCGGGGACCAGGGGTTGGGGACCCCTGATTTACAGGATTTTGATGGTTCATGTCATCGTGTCATCATTCGTTGATCCCTGGTAGGCTAGTGGTTAAGGGTTCGAATCAGGGTTGCGTCATGAAGGGCATCCGGCGTAAAACACGTGCCAAATGTCAACATGTGAGTCGTCAGTGTGACGATTCGCTGTGGCGACCCCTAAACGGGAAAAGCCAAAAGTGACTTTCTTTCTTTGATGGTTCGTGTCAACCAGCTGTTGTTACACCAATGAAACACCGACTTCTCTGAAAGCTCAGGGTTTTTCTGACTTGGAGTTAAATAACTCTGAGGTGTCTGGAGGTCGGACACACAAGGCCTCAGCATTACACCTGGTCTCCTAGTGATGCTGGTTATAAAACGTGTCAGAATGTGAAGTTTTCCAAAGTTTCCTTTACAGAAGAGACATTACAATGTGTCAGAATGTGAAGTTTCCCAGTTTCCTTTACAGAAGAGACATTACAAACCTGTGACTGTGAGGTTGTTGTTAAAAAGCTCTTCAGACGTCTTCAGCTGAGCAGGGTCGACTCTGCAGAAGCCTGGTTTAGACCAACAGCAGGATTACTGGTAAAAACTGATCTGTGTGTTGGCAGGTCCCTGTCCTCCATGTCCAAAGATGGTGTCAGTTTCCTGTATGTGTGGCAAAGCCAAGCCCCTCCCCCGTCGCTGTAGCAACAAGGTACGCACAGAAAGTTTAAAGGTCCCCTCCAGTTGTGTTTCAGATGTAAAATACTCTGATCTGAGTAAGAATCTGTCTGATGTGTTTTTAATGAAACGTTCAATGACTTTGTTAAAACGTCTTTAACACTCTGGTCCTTCTGCCTCAGGTCAAAATCCACGGTCTGTGTAAATGTTGTTCATCTCCAGAGTTTTACTGTTGAGTTTAACACCAGATGCCTCCTACTTCACTGTCTGGAGGACGTAGAGTGTTTCACTGGCCTGTCGTGTTCCTGACGACAGCAGGATGTTACCGTTCCTACTCTTCTGCTGCCTGATGGGAAACGATCCAATCAGACGCCCTGAGAGAAGACCGACCACCTGAAGGGCTCAACCAGAGCGCCCCCTGTGGTGGGGAGGGTTTCTGTCATCACCGCTGCAGGACTAACTGTGTGTGTGTGTTTTCTGTGCAGGCCTGGTCGTGTCAGCAGCAGTGTGGCAGGTTGTTACCCTGCAGACAGCACATGTGTTCTCAGCCGTGTCACACAGGTACACACACTGTCACACAGCAAATCTGTTTGCCTTCATCATCACCATCATCATCAGCCCGTTTACTTTACAGTGTGGGAGTGAATCTGATCACAGTTTACAGACCTGTCAGGTGCATGTTGCAGAGGAAGTAGTGAGTGAGTGGACGTCCAACATGGCCGACCCTCACCCCCCTGTCTGTGTGTGTGTGTCTGTGTGTGTGTGTCAGAGTGCGCGGATTGTCCCAGAGTCAGCCTCCAGAGGTGTGTGTGTGGTCGAGAGACGGCGAAGAGGCCCTGCGCCAGCCCTCAGTGGAGCTGTCAGCAGGTACGATTACAAACACTGCAGTACTGTTTACTGTGTAGTACTGTAGGATCTACACTGTTTACTGTGTAGTACTGAAGGATCCACACTGTTTACTGTGTAGTACTGTAGGATCCACACTGTTTACTGTGTAGTACTGAAGGATTGACACTGATGTACTGCAGTACTTAGATACTGGGACATATTTTAGTCATGTACTGCAATACTTAGATACTGGGACATATTTTAGTCCTTTGCTGCATAAATCTGCATGTTTATGAGGTGACATGTATTGTTTGGTTTGTGTTGGCGTTCCTGATGACAAACCGCTCGCTGTCCGCTGTCACATCGAGGCTGTTGGCGTGGTGACGCTCAGTGACGGCCTCCATCACTGGCTGCTGACAGATGAGTCACTTTGTTTCTGCGCTGAAGACGCCTGACTAATAACTTTAAATAAATAAATGACTGGGTAAACAGACATGAATAGACCAGTATCCTGGCAACGAACAGCCCATAATGCAACAGTCTGACGACTGGAGCTCACATGCGTTCACATTATGACTAATATAATGTGGAGGTCCTTGCTTATGTTCGATGCAGCCAAAGCTATAACGTGCTGTGTCCTGTGTTTTGTACAAGCTGTAATGAGCCCGTCATGTGTACTGCATCCTGCCAGCAGGTGTTTCCATCCAGATGTTTTTATGCACATATACATGCATGAAAATCCTGAGTGGAAAAGGAAAAACCACCTTGAGGTAACAGGAAAAAGTCGAACGCTTGGCCTTGGTGGAACAGGTTGGTGTTTCGACAAAGCAAAGCGAGACGGAGTGATGGAGACGGATCCGGTGAATCATGTGACAAACACGGTGTCAGACAGACAGATGTGCTGGGCGCTGAGGAGGCTGGAGCCTTCACCACATGAACATCTGAACAGAACCGGCACATTTCTGTCATGATTCATACGTTGATTCACAGACTGAGATTTCACGTTCTCAGCAGCTGTTCAGTGTCTCCTGACCAGAAGGTTAGAGCCTCCAG